GGTCTGTGTTTGCAAACCCAGGCAGGAGGTGCTGGTGTTTGGGAGCTCTCGCCTGCTCCCTGTCCAGTGGGTATCACTGCTCCGTGTTGCAGGTAGGATTTTGGGGCTCTCCAGCCTGCCTCCCCACCGGTGGTTGCAGGCACATCCACCCACCCTGGCAGGGCTCCATGCCAGCACAGACCTTGGGAGTGCTGCGGTGACCTCCCCTGACCAGGAGCTCAGGGACAGACTGGGCAAGCAGGGCCTTGCTGGGCGGAAGATGCAGGACTGACCTTCTGTGATGGCCCAGCCACCACCATCCCCCACCTCCCTCCATTCTTGGGCTGGTCAAGGCTGCATGCAGCTGTCCTTGCACACCATGTCTGCTGCAGGCAGAGCCATAGAGCCCCATGGAGGACATGGGCTTGGCATCCCCTCTCCCTGGCAGGCAGGGGCTGACTGCTCCTCCCTGGCCCCGGTGCCTGGCCAAGTTCATGTGCCCTTTTCAAAGCTGGAGGCTCAGCTTGATCTGTGTGCTCTGGAGAGCTGCAGAAACTGGCCATGCAGAACCCCCCCGTCCTCATGTCTGCTGGAGGAGTGGGGTTCAGTGTCCCCTCCATGCCTGCCTGAAGAGCCAGGCACAGAAGAGGAGCCTGCTTTGAAGACCTGTCTGGGGTTTTCCCAGCTGCCGTGGAGAAGAACCTGATGTCCCTTCTGTGCCAGCCTGCAGGACAGCCCTCACCAGAGAGCCAGTGCCTACCTCTGCAGTGGCTGCTGCAGCAGAGGGTGTAGGAGGATGTTTGAAAGCATTTAAAGACTTGTCCCCATCCCAGAACATGTGAGCAAAGCTGCTCTGGCAGGAGGCAGGGAGGACAGGCTGGCAGTAAAGGCCTCAGAGTTGAGGCAGTGTTCCTGGTGCTGGGAAAGAGCAACTGGACCTACCTGGTGCCACTTGCTAATGGGAGAAACTCCACAGGGCCCCATCTCATGGGGGTAAAAACCATCTCTGTCTACAATAGACATGTGCATGTGTGCCCAGGTTCAGCTTGTACTCTGTGCTCCCTTGGTGAAGGTGTCCTATCAGATGGAGCCCTCCCAAAATGAGGGCATGCTTTCCCCCATGGCACCAACGGAGTGAGGAGCAGGTGCTGCAGCGAGCCTGCAGGAGAGCCTGGGGGCTGCCATGGGTCTGGTTTGGCTGGGAGAAGCATCGTGCAGGTAGGTGGCAACCTGAGCACGTTGGAAGACCCCTGTGCCAGCTGAATGGTCTTGCAGTGTGCAGGACACAGGTTAAAACCGGCCCCCTGGACGAGCGGGGTAGAGGAACCTGCATCTTGGGTGGAATCACAGGAGCCAGCTGCCCTTGAGTAGTGGGCTGCTGGGGGAGAGGCTTGTGGTCACCGCCCTGGAGCCCAGACCAGGGCTACGAGCAGCTGGGTTAAGTCCTCCACGGTGAAAAACCGCAACACGTCTTGCAAGCGTTGTCTGGTATGGAGCTGACGAGATGGCAGCAGCCATGATGAGTGGATGTGTTTCTGAACCATTGCTCCTCCACTAGCTAGCCACCTGACATTGGTGCTAGGGTGTCAGGGGGGATGGTGCGCGCATCTGTATGTATATGCACGGGTATAACATGGCCCCTGATCACCCCCATGAAGGGCTCTGCTTGTATCTAGCAGGGAAGCAGGTTCCTGCGATTGTGCCCCCTCTGTCTGGTACAGCAGTGCCTTCAGTGACCAAACCCGAGTCCTCTCTTCCAGCGTGTGATACAAGGAGTCAGAAATGAGATGGGGTAACCCTGAAACCTGCTACTCAGCTTCTCAGTCTCCAGCATATGTTCTCTGCACTGGGCAGATGGCTGTGGGCTTTCCCTGTAGAAGAAGGGGTGGGAAATAAGTCCATTTTGTTCTAAGTAGAGACCATGGCTGTGGGCAGATGGCCGTGCATCCTGGGCGCTGCTGGCTGAAATCTGTCCCTGCTTTCATCCCCAGGAGCAGGCTCGCAGGGAGGCAGTGGCCCTGCACACAGCTCAGCCCGAGGGCTGCCTTGCCCTGGTATCCTGCTCTCCGAGGTCCAGGCAGAGCGGGGCCACTCCAGTGCTGTGGCTGCTGTCCCCGGTGTTGCAGTGACAGCAGGGCAGGAGGCGTGGCTGCCATCCCCAGTGCTGGCTTGCAGTGGTGGGCATGTTGGCATGGTGGTCGGGGCACGGATGTTGCCGCCTTACATGGCAGGGCAGAAAACCTTCTAATGGAATGGCAAGTGCAGACTCAAACATTTCCATCCAGTAACTGCCCAGTGCCAGCACGGGGGGACCAAGCCATTGCACAGGGTGCCACAGCTCAGGGTGTCCCCAGCAGCAGTGCCTGACCCCCACAGTGGCTGGTGGAATCACCAAGTGGCAGGAAAAAAAACCAACCCACAAGTTTTTCTGATCTCAGACTTGCTGCTCAGGAACTGCCAAGCAATGTTGGTATCTCATTGTCATCTGTGCTCTGGAGCCCCAGCTGAGTGAGCTACCGGGCCAGTCTGGGGTTACTGCTTGAACCGGTTGCTGTGACCCTAGGGACACCAGCGTCTTCAAGAGGAGAGGAGCAAAGCACAGAGGTGGCTGGGCCCCGCATGGCTGCCCTTGTCCTGGGAGCGCTGCTGCTGCCTGGCCCGCTCTGGTGGGACAGGAGCCCTCTGTCCTGTCTCAGTGTCCAAAGTGTTTGTGTGTACGCCACCGTGGCATCTATCCTCAGGTCCTGGGGTTGGCGGTCCCCGAGTGTAGCACACTGCCTGGGTGTGAATCTGCCATTTACCGTGGGTGTGCCCAGGTAAGTGTGCATCCAGGCAGAGGCTGTCTGGGGCACCAGGTTCCTCGGAGGCTTCCTGGCTGCCTCTGCAGCGCTGGGTTTATGCTGCCTGTCTGTGTGCCTTGCAGGCTCTGAAAAGGAAGCCGGACCTCTTCCTGGGTAGCAATCTGGATGTCAAAGCAGTGTTTCAGTGTGGTGAGTACCATGGGCATGGGCATGCACTCCAGATTGCTCTGTGGAGAAGCCAGCCTGCTCCTCCTGCACAGCTGGGCACAGACCAGCCAGGGGCTGGGGAGCACAGGGCTGATTTGGGATGGTGTGCAGGGCTTCCAGCTGCTCACCAGCATGCTTTCTGCCCGCAGGTGTCCTTTCGCTCAAGTTCCCTGAGGCTCCAACAGTCAAAGCATCCTGTGGCTTTTTTGTGAGTATCATGGCACTGTGCACCCCCAAGGGGGATGGCCTGCAGCCCCCAGCGAGGGATGGGATAGCACGAGTGGGTCAAGCAAGGGCACTGCAACGTGGAACTTGGTCTTGGTACTGAGCAAGCTGGGCTCTGTGTTGCAGACGGAGCTGCTGCCCCGCTGCGGAGAGATCGCCCCGGTGGGACAGGTCGTGCATGAGAACGGCAAAGTGCTGCTGCAGGCAGTGCTGGAGGTGAGAGACGCTGGGACCGCAGGCTCCTCGGGCAGCTTTGGGCTCTGTTCCCGGGTGGCACCCCTGCAGAGCAGGGGGCAGAGAGCCCGGCAGCGTGGGTGGGTGCTGGCAGAGTGATGGCGGGGGCTCAGCAGGGTCTGTCTGTTCTGTGGCAGGGCATCGGTGGCCAAGCCTCCCGCAGTCTCATGGATCACTTTGCAGAAATCCTCTTTGCCTTGAACAAGCACTGCTTCAGCTACCTGAGCATCTGGATCAAGGAGGCCATGCAGCAGGACGGCTTCCCCTCGGCCCGCGTCAGCCCCGAGCAGAAGGAGACCTTCAGCCAGCAGATCCTCAGGTTCATGCACCCCTCCCTGTGGTGGCTGCACCCCAGGTGCGGTGGGAATGACCCTCCTTGCACAGCCTCGTGTGTCTTCATGTTTGTCCCCTCCCTCTGTCTTAGCAGAGAGCGTGTGAACAAGCGGCGAGTGAAGGAGACGGTGAAGGAGTTCACCCTGCTGTGCCGAGGGCTGCATGGCACAGAGTACACAGCAGACTACTGAGCACCTGGCCAGGACCGCGGACAATTTGCCCGGACCAGCTCTTCCCCGCAAGGAAGCTCCCCCCCATCCTCCCCACCCTGCTGCAGTACGGCTCGTAGAATAACCCTCCACCTAGAATTAACCCACTCGGGACGCTCCTCAGCTAGATTTGGTGGCCGCATCTCGGTGTCAGCATCTTTGTTTCCCCCAGCATGCTCCCCCCTCGCAGGGGATGGGAGTGCCGGCTGCAGGAGGTGGCGGCGGGGGGGGAAGCCTGGGCAGGACTGCCCCAGCGCAGGCTGCCCTGTGCCCGGGCTACTAGCCCTTCCCTGTGGGTGCCCATGCCCCAGGGCGGGGAGGCTGCCCCTCTGCCTGTGGCAGTGGCTGGCTGGGCGGGGGGGCGCTCGCCCCCTGCTCATTTGTACGTGTGTGGTTGGGAGGGGGGAGGCCCTGCACCTAATTATATTAAGAATATTTCTATGTTGTGGCTGTCATTATTGTGGTGCCGGGACTTTGCCTGCCCCTTGGCTTTGGGGAAGAACCCCAGGGAGGGGCTTTAATGAAGGTTGGGATCCCTCAAAGCCTCTTCTCCCCCTTGGCTGTGGGAGGGATGGCGAAAACCAGCCCCCTCAACTCGCCATGCTCTCCTGCCCAGCATGGAGCAGCTCATGGAGCAGAAACAGTCCTGTCCCATGCGAGAGGGTCCAGACTGCAACCCCACTGAATGCAGGGTCCTCCCTCCCTGCAGCACAGGATGTGTGTGCCCCACTCCCGTGGCTCAGACCTCACACTCAGAGCCCTCTCCCCTTTTCCTTCTTTCCCCAGCTAAGCCTGTGAAGGTGTTTTCATTTCTGGGGGTCCCAGTTCTGGTTTGCTGTTCTCTCAGGCTGGTTTTAGCTGACACCAGAGCAGGCACTGTGATCTGTGTTTTCACTCCGGGATGTCTGGTGTCAGCCCTGCCTGCACTCCTGAGTCCATGTTTTATTCTAGAAGACAATTCACTCACAAGTCCTTTTCAGCTCAGCTTTAGTTACCAGCAGTAGCCCACATAAGCCTCGAGTCCTGGCAGTCAGCTCACGCAAAGCTGTAACCTTTCCCTTGTGGGGCCAAAGCTGCCCTGCACTTGGGGAGCCCTCAGAGGCCAGGTCTGGCCCAAGTGCCTCTCCTGGCCCTGCTGCTGCCCTGGCCATGAGCCCCAGGGTGCCACGGGCATCCCCAAACACACCTGCAACTCCCACTCTCCCACCGCAGTACTACTGACCCAAGGCTGCATCCAGCGCGGGGCCAACTGGTGGCAGGTCCAGATCCTCGTGACACCCTCACAGGTCTGACACCTGGTGACAGGTGACACCCGGGCCCCTGCACGCCCCCTGCTCCTGGCTGGGTGCTGATGCTGCTACCGAACTGGTTATTTGCGCCCCTCATCCTCGTAGGCGATGGCAATCCCTCGTCGGCCCTGCACAGCCTTGGAGATGGGTGTCTGCCCCAGCTGCTGCTCCAGGCCCCGCCAGCTGCGGGACTCGAGAAAGGAGGCTGGGAGGAGAGAGAAAGGGAATTGTTACTGGGAGCAGGGAGGCGGCACTGCCCCTGCACTGGGACTCAGCCCTACCACAAAACCAAATCACAAACCAGCAGGGCTGATCTCCATGAGGGCACGTGTCTGGTCCCTGCAGGCCAGGGTGGTGCTGGGGGGCAGCTGGGGGGCCATGGGGTCGCAGAGGTGGGTGGCACGCATCTCCCCTGTGATCAGCGAGATGTCAGGAGTGGCCTCTGCTGCAGGGATGGCTGGTGGGGGCTCAACGTGCGCACAGGCACCTGCCAGGAAATGGTAACATTAGCCTGGTGCTCATGTCTGTCCTCCGTCCGGGGCAACTGTAGCCTCCAGGCAGGGGAGCAGGGCAGGACATGCTGCAGGAAGGTGTTGGGCAGCTGGTTTCCAGCTCTTACCTGGCAGCAGGTCTCGGAAGTCAGTGAAGTAGTTCCCTGTCCATTCACGGGCCGGGTTACAGGCCAGCTCCAGCTCATAGGGGGTCACAACAGGCCGGTAGAAGTCGCTGGAGTCCAGCAGGGAGTTCTGAGCACAGGCCACCAGGACAAAGATGTCCACCTCCAGGAAGTTGGCCAGCTTGGCAGGGTTCGGCTTCCCCACGGCCAGTGTGTAGCTGCGCTTGCCAGCCCGGCGCAGAAGCTCCCGGAGGTGCTGCAGCACAGCCAGGTAGCCCGCCACGCCCCAGCCAGTGGCAGGGTCAAAAGAACTGAAGGGGCAGCAGTTCCAGGTCAGCATGAAGCTGGTGAGGGTCAGGCCCTCAGCTCCCACATAGAACATGGCACAGTCCTGCAGCCCTCCCGGCGCCTCCACCAGGAACTGGCGACCAAACTGCCGCACCTCCCCAGGTGGTGCAGGGCCAGGAGGGTCCCCACACATCACCCTGGAGAAAACGATATTGGGGTACTCAG